GCACGTCCGCTAGGCACGCGAGGAATTCTTTATAGTACAAAACCAACCCTACGATTAAAACTCCACACTTGTTCATTGATGCTATTATTCACCACAGCACAGCTGCATATCACAGTGATTACCCTTCAACCATCGCAATGAGGCTGGACCTTACCGTGGTGTGATGATTTTGCGTGCCTCAGAGATCCATTGAGCTATGCTGGGTGGTGCGTTTGCACCTTCAGAGCCACTCATACCAGATTGGTGAATGGTTAGAGGCCAGACAAGCTCAGCCTCCTGGTCCTCCAGGTTGGGGGTTGGAATGAGGGTGCCTCCTTATTCCTTAAAACGGGCTCTCTGTAGTCCAGTGCCAAAACCCGCTACCTAGCGGTAAGGTTTTTGAACCAAAGGCTTTGGTTAAAAACCCTAATCGTTCTCCTGTCTAGGCCTGGGCAACCTGACAGCATTCTGCCCACGCAATACAATGAACTCTTCATCAAACAATTTCTTGATGCTCTGGCCGTCGCAGAGGGTAATATCTGCATCGAGTAGGGTGGATAGGGGTGGGGATGCTACTGTTCAGGCCTTCCCGTCTTCTTATACCACTTCTTGCGCTTCTTCATCCTTATCGTCCCGCTCCAACTTTACTATCATCCATCCATCAATCCCCAAATTCTTGGCCTTCCCCCAGCTTGCTTCAATAGTCACATATCTTCCAGTTTCAAATCACACACAGTCGCAGAGCGTCGCTCCAATAAAGTCGACAAGTCCATGTTCAACGAAGCGGACAATGTCAGTTCATCCGTTTCCCTTTGGAGTCCTCGCCTTTCGCTAAGATTGGCATGCCTCAACGTGCGCATTTTGCTATAGATTGGCCAACAGGCAGCACTTGCCCACACACTAGAGACCCTATTGATCGATATTTGATGTTTAACAGAAATCCGCTTGCAAGATTTAAGCTCCGTGGTTACCCTGCGACCCCCCACATGCGACACTGGCAGCACATTCTCATTGCGCCTGTCTGGCGATGATGCCGCTTCAAATGCCGGTCAAACTGGCGTCGGCATTGTTTTGAGTCCCCGGACTCGAGCCGGCCTGATCAATTAGAGCCCAATAAACAGTAGGATGTGCGCCGTTAGATTAGCTGGTTCGTTCCGTGCTACAAAGTCGCGCGGGGACAAACGGTGCCTGTTTGTCATTGCGGCCTACGCCCCTACAAACTGTAGCACTGATTCGGTAAAAGTAGATTTCTATCAGCAACTTTACGAGCTCCTTCGTTACAGAAGAAGCACGGATACTGTGGTGTTGGCTGGCGATCTAAACGTCCCAGTCGGAAAATTGTCCTCTGGTGAGCTTCATCTGGGCGGCCAACATGGTGTAGGCTCCCGTAGTGATAAGGGTACGAGATTGTTACAGCTGTGTAAAGATGCTCGCCTCTTTCTCGCGAGCACTTACTATCGACACAGCACCCGCAGAAGTGTGACTTGGCGATCACCAGCCTCGGGCCAGCCATGGACCCAAATCGATCATATCGCGATCAGTTACCGCTGGAGAGGCTGTGTCCAAAACTGTCGCTCGATTTGGAGCACGAGCGTAGACTCTGACCACGCACTTCTCTGCGCCGACCTCCGGTTGCGTTTCGGTGGACGTCCGCAACGTCGATGTGAAGGGACTGACACCAGCCAGCTGGCGAAGCCAGATGTTCTGAATGTGTACCAAAGTGCGCTGACATCTGGGCTGAGTTAGCGCCCACTAAACACTGTCGAAGATCACTGGTCGCATATTCGTAAAACGTTACTGCTAGCAGGCATGTATTCATGTGGCAAAGCAAATTGCCAAACCGGACATTGGATCTCTACACAGCCTCTGGAACTTATGGATGCTCGTCGCGTATTCCGACTGGAAGCGAATACAATGAGGCTCGCAAAAATCGTACGGCAAAACTACATGCTAGCCTGAAGAAAGACCGCGAAACCTGGTGATCTCATCGTGCCTCTGAGATGGAAACAGCCGCTACTGTTGGCAATCATCGTAAGTTATTCCGTCTGATAAGGGAAACAGGCAGCAGGAGACCTGGTGTTAGCGAGACCATACGCGACGAGGTTGGGCAGCCGATCCACAGCCTGTTAAAACGTCTGGGGAGTTGGGGCGAACACTTTGCAAGGCAATTTAATCAACCTGGGTTATCGGTTTCATTTTCGGGCATTGAGCGCCCTTCTCCCTGGGCCGTCTCCTTGGATCCGCCCTCACGCGCAGAAGTCGAACGTGAGATCAGGTTGCTGAAATTGCATAAGGCCACAGGGGCAGATAGAATTCCCCAGCCCTCTTCAAATTCGGGGGACATGATCTAATAGATGATTTGCACCAGTTGCTGGTGAAACTTTGGGAGCAGGAGACTGTCCCGACAGACTGGAACCGCTCCGTCATTGTCCCAATTTTCAAGAGACACTCCTGTTTGGAATGCGGCAATCATAGAGGGATCAGTCTGATCTCAACTACCTCTAAAGTGCTTGCCTCTGTCATTACCCACAGACTGACTGGCACTCGTGAAAGCCAGATTCGTGAAGAGCAAGCCGGATTTCGTCGAGGTCGGGGCTGCATCGACCACATCTTCACCTTGCGTCAATTGTTGGAGCACCACCATATTCATTGGCGACCCACCGTTGTCGTGTTTCTTGACATAAAAGATGCCTTCGACTCAGTCGATCGACGTGCCTTTTGGGACTGTCTGCTGAGGAAAGGTGCGCCTGATAAATAGGTAAACATTATCAAAGCGCTGTGCGCGCATAGTTCAGGCAGAGTGATGGTTTATGGCAAACTGTCGCCACTCTTCAGTATCGCCCGCTGTGTGAGTCAAGGTTGCTCGCTGTCACCTTTCCTCTTTAACTTCGCTATTGATTAAGTCATGGAAACAGCGTTCGCTGGACACGACCTAGAAGGTGTGGAGCTACTTCATGATTTAGAGTATGCGGACGATATTGCACCATTCTGTGACAGATTCCAAACATGTCATGCAGTATTGGACCAATTAGCAATGGCTGTCAATCGTTTTAGGCTATGATTTGCCCCATCAAATTACAAAGTACTTCTCCAAGATTGGCATGGCCCCAACCCTGCACTAACGCTTGGTGGTGATCTGCTAGAAGTCGTTCAGGAATTCAAGTACCTGGGCAGCTATATTAGCACCCGTTGGATTGAAGATGAGGTTACGAATCGTATGGCAAAAGCTCTAGGTGCTTTTGCCAATCTCCGCCAACTGTGGTGCAGACGCGACATTACTCTCGCCCTGAAGGGCAGAGTTTACAACGCAACCGTCCGTTCAACTCTTCTATATGGTTGTGAAACCTGGCCCATCAGGTCGACAGACATAAAGAGGCTCGTCATATTCGATCGTCGCTGCCTTCGCAGCTTAGCTCATGTCTGGTGGGACCACCGCGTGAGTGATGAGCGTGTTCCGCGTCGCGTATTTAGTGCACGGAGAGCGAGTGAACTGCTCAGACCATTATATCACGCACCAGGCTGCGATGGTTGGGCCACGTGTTGCGCATGCCAGCCCAGCGACTCCCGTGATGTGCATTGTTTGCGCGTTGTGAGTGCGGTTGGAAGAGAAGGAGGAGAGGTTAACCGATGACTTGGTCGAGAGAGATGAAAACCCTCACTTCGAAGTTGGCATCGGTTGGTGCATCCAGACTGCCTGGTTGGGGTCCTAAGGACGGTGAACACGTTTGGTTGGGCACACTTGCTGATATGGCTTGGAGCCGGCTCCAATGGTGCTTGTGTGGTGAGTTTCTTTGTCCATCCCCCTCCTGCTTAGCATCCCCCTCCAATCATGATCTCACTAGATAGGCATAATATGACTGTCTTTTTACGTCACGATAGCCAGCTGCTTACTCTCCGGAACTAGGTTCATCCGTTACTGGGGACTCAGCCGGCGTGCCACTGTTTGTTTTCCTTTTCTTGTCTTTTGTAGTGCGACACAATAGTTGAGGTGCTTTCCACCTACAGCTAACGTGTATAATGACAATGATGATGAGTACCCTTAAAAAGGATAACAACGTGCTGAGAAATTAGGAACCAACAGTACTCCAGTCGGAGACTGGTGCAGAATATTGGCTCCTAAGCAATTGGTAAAAGAAATGCCAAACTCAGCATCGAAAGTATTAAGGTTGTTCAAACAAAATAAATAGATAAGTAGCACGGCAAGCAAGTTGAACTGAAACAACCTTGAAAATTAAAAGGACAAGTGTTTGCAGATGCTGAAAGATTACTCTGGCGAAAAACGCGCTGCGTTCGTAAAGATGAGAATCGAAAGCATTCCGAAGCAGGCTAACTCTCCAAAGTCATTACAAATGATTCTTAGAGAATCCATCAGAGCAGCTTGCAAATCAGGTAGTGCTTCCATATGCTCGGAAAGGCACTAGACGGCCGTTTTAACCTGTTGGGTCAAGTCAGTAGAGCGCATCCACCGGATCCAACAGGATTCGAGGCCATGAAAAAGAAGTTTTAATCGGCAACCGACAGCTTATGTCACTGAGCCATACGGGGCTGTCATGATTCACAAGCTGACTGGATGAATACTAAACACTATGTTGTACACAGTTAACGTCAGTAGAGATCATGTGTTTCGGGACCAATACTTTCACTGCATGGTTGACAACTTACGTGGTAGTAGAGAAGAAAACACGCTATGTCGTGGTTAGTTTGCTAATCGCGACTGTCCGCTGCGGTCTCATATGGCACAGTGGCATACGATGCCGGTGATCATGGGTTCGGATCTTAGCTGAGCCGATGAATGAGCACTACTGACGAGACCCAACAGGACGAAATGGTTGCCCAATGTTTTTTCGGACTATCTGATTTTGAAGTTGCTGCGGGGAATCTTCACATAACACGTCATAAATCCCCTGCTCCTAAGTGTAAACAGTGGAGACCAAGGTTAAAAAGGAGCGAAAACAAGGAATGCGCTTTCGTTCCGAGCATGGAAGGGAGGTATTCAACAGGTTCCACAAAACGTCACTCACCTTCTAGTCCTGTAATAACATCAACTTTCCGCCGCTTTGCCTTCTTCCGCCAATGTTCAGGGCCAGCCCACATGCCCAAAATGTGGTCATTGATTTGGCCAAAATGTTCATACTGTTTATCCAACATGCTCTTCAAGCTTGAGACGAATAGTTCGCCATCGGTAGTCATGCTACAGATAAGCGGAAATAGAATGTGGAGGAAAAAGAATATGTGCAATTACACAGTCCGCTGCTTCCATGACCAAGGAGAACTTACACATAAAATACAAAAGGACTGCAACACTTTCAGGAGGAATGTAAAGCGAATAGGCTGTGCCAAGATGAGGCAATATGATGAACGCATGTAAGTCATCGTACAACAGCAGGGGCGGAGGGAAGAAGCAAAGATCAAAGAGATAAGTCTTAGTGTCCGTAGCCATGCGTCAGTCAGCTATCGAAACACAGCTGACATCGAATCGGAGATACCAGTAATACCTGCGCAAATTAACTTAAAGGAAAAAGAAGAAAGCATTTCGAAGAAGCGCAGTTCCCTGCATGGTCCACAATGCATAAACCACAAAACGACGCCTAGTTAGCGACGGAAGCCAAGCATATATCAAACCAGTAACAGTACCGAGGACAGGATGGTCAGTGAGCATATAACAGGTGCAGCTTGGTAGTAGGCCAGTACCCAAGAAGCGAAATATCAAGCGTGCAACACGATTACCGAGAGTAGGAGTAAAACTAAGAGTACGAAGAAGTGGACCAGTTTTATCTCTCGAGGCCGTCGACTGACTGTTTCCTTGCACTGCGTTCCCCGTAGAGCTGATCCCACGTAATCAACTTTTAGGCGCCGACGATACTGCCCTACTGTGTGACCGCTCACCAATCTGCCAAGCAGCATTGGACAGATCAGTCATACCCGTCAATCGCACGGAAGTGCGATTTGAACCATCAACATGCAGTTTCGCCAGGATTGACAAGGACCAAACATTGTGCTGACCCTTAGTGGGTATCGAGTGGAGATAGTTTGGAAATCTACTCATTTAAACAGCCACGTCAGTACTAATGGGATATACGGTCTGTACTGCGTTATCTTCTTAACATTTGGTGCCGTGATCAGCCATTTCAGGATGAGGACGCACGGAAGTTCCAGGAGGACTTCGGAGATGTTGTAGTCCGTATCCTTAGGGATCACAAGCTTGCCTTGTAATCTGAGGGCGCGGGTTTGAGCCTGCGTAGGGGACTGGGTGACCTTCGCAGTATCCGTAGCCCGTGTGCGACTGGTAGTGATTGCGCGGCAGCGAATCGTCGGTACTGTGTATCGGCGTACTGCTTATACCTTTTTCGATGTCACGGAGGCAGTTAGGGCACAGCAGAGGAGAGCTAACCTGGTTGCTCTGTGAAGTATCCTCAATGACAAGGAGAAGGCGATTGTGGAGGCGGTTCGAAGGAGCCCAGTCAAGTTGCAATGGGCCGCCGCGAAAGTTGCGCTGATTTCGGAATTCGATAGCCAGGCTGGCTGCCAGGATACGATGCGACGATTTAATACGGCCAGGCTTGGAGTGCGAGCCGACCCGTTCATCTTCGCCGTCCACCCTAGTAAGTTGTTGGACCGAGCGCTGTTTAACTTGGTTGACGCGTCAAGACAGAAATAGTTAGTGGAGCAGTTTCTGAACGCTCTACCTTTAAGGAGGGCGGATCGGCTCTGGATTGTGAACGCCACCTAGAGAACGAGCATGGCGGAGCTTGCAAGTGGCAAGGGAGTTTGTACATAAGGCAGTCGCTGCATTGAGAGCAAAAGACCAAAAAGTGGAGGAGCGATTGGACAGGCTAGATGAGATGCTGGAACAGATTACGCAAAAAAGCGGGGCACTTCGAATTCCCAGTCCGGAAACACGGTCGAAGGGATGATGCTTCCTTTGTGAGAAATTGGAACATAGGAAGCGGCAATGTCCGTCAAGGTGCAGTACCTGCTGTGTACCAAATGAAAGCTATAAACCAAGCGATGACTTAGCCGAGAGGAATGAAGGCCCTCACTTCGGAGCTGGCCTCGGTTGGAGCGTCACAGCTCCCGGGTTGGGGTCCAAAAGACGATGAACACGTTTGACTGGATACACTTGCTGACAAGGCTAGGAGCCAACCTCAGTGGCGTTCCTGCTGTGTTCCTTTGTCCCTTCCCCTCCCATTTAGTTTCCCCTTCAACGGCGATCCCAGTTCGTAGCATAATACAATTTTACGTAATAATACTTTTTCTTGCCTAGTAGCCAGCTGCTAGCTTTCCGGAACGATGCCCATCCGTTGCTGGTAGCTCAGCTGACATGCAACTGTTGTATTTATTCTCTTTTTTATGTATTGCGGCACAGTAGCTGGGGTTCCTTACACCTCTAGTTAACGTGTATAATGATGATGATGGTGGTGGATGATGATGATGATGACGTTGATGAGAATGATGCTGATGATGCTGATGATGAAGATGAAGATGAAGATGATGATGATGGTGATGAGGATGAGGATGAGGATGAGGACGAGGACGAGGACGAGGATGAGGATGAGGATGAGGATGAGGATGAGGATGAGGATGAGGATGAGGATGAGGATGAGGATGAGGATGAGGATGAGGATGAGGATGAGGATGAGGATGAGGATGAGGATGAGGATGAGGATGAGGATGAGGATGAGGATGAGGATGAGGATGAGGATGAGGATGAGGATGAGGATGAGGATGAGGATGAGGATGAGGATGAGGATGAGGATGATGATGATGATGATGATGATGATGATGATGATGATGATGATGATGATGATGATGATGATGATGATGATGATGATGATGATGATGATGATGATGATGATGATGATGATGATGATGATGATGATGATGATGATGATGATGATGATGATGATGATGATGATGATGATGATGATGATGATGATGATGATGATGATGATGATGATGATGATGATGATGATGATGATGATGATGATGATGATGATGATGATGATGATGATGATGATGATGATGATGATGATGATGATGATGATGATGATGATGATGATGATGATGATGATGATGATGATGATGATGATGATGATGATGATGATGATGATGATGATGATGATGATGATGATGATGATGATGATGATGATGATGATGATGATGATGATGATGATGATGATGATGATGATGATGATGATGATGATGATGATGATGATGATGATGATGATGATGATGATGATGATGATGATGATGATGATGATGATGATGATGATGATGATGATGATGATGATGATGATGATGATGATGATGATGATGATGATGATGATGATGATGATGATGATGATGATGATGATGATGATGATGATGATGATGATGATGATGATGATGATGATGATGATGATGATGATGATGATGATGATGATGATGATGATGATGATGATGATGATGATGATGATGATGATGATGATGATGATGATGATGATGATGATGATGATGATGATGATGATGATGATGATGATGATGATGATGATGATGATGATGATGATGATGATGATGATGATGATGATGATGATGATGATGATGATGATGATGATGATGATGATGATGATGATGATGATGATGATGATGATGATGATGATGATGATGATGATGATGATGATGATGATGATGATGATGATGATGATGATGATGATGATGATGATGATGATGATGATGATGATGATGATGATGATGATGATGATGATGATGATGATGATGATGATGATGATGATGATTGTACCACGATACTAAGCCTAAACTAAGTACGTCGTACGAGAACTAAACTAGAAACTACGAACAGATAAACCTAGACTTAACGCACGGTCTGGGCAGAAGAATAAAACGAATTATCCTGTAACCGTGGTTCTATACGGCATAATAAATACAGTACATGACTTACGAATAGGTTTCGCAATCGTAATGCAAGTGGGCAGAAACAGTCCTGCGTGGGGCGGATCCAGTATTTGGGCAGTGTCACAGTGACATAATAATAAGAATGACCTTGAAACCTCAAGGATGTGTCAGTGATGGAGTGTAAGAAATAAATACACACACAGTAAAGCAGTGTAAATGTGGAAGATAATCAGGGAAAAGAGATACCGTGTCCTCATGTAAGCAATCCAGTTTGGGTGATACATCGAAGTTCCTTTTGGACTTTACACTCCCCCGGCGGTTTCCTATCCCGGACGGTGGCTTCCATGGCATCTATCTCTTCTTCCTGGTATGCTTCTAGTAGGCACAGCTGTCTGACGTCTCTTCGCAATATGCCTTTGCGTGTCCTCACAAGTGCTTGTCGAACCAGTTGGTTTTTGCTCTTGATAACTTTCTCCACAACACCCTTAGGCCACAGACCACTTGATGTGCGTATATCACAAACTAAAACTAACTCGCCCTGCCTAAGATCGCTGATTTCAGTTAACCACTGCTGTCTATTCTGCAATATCTGTGGATGTACTCTAATCCGCCTACGGCAAAACATATCAAACACATGTCTTACCTGTCTCCTACTTCTGCTCCAAACTTGCTGAGCTTCTGCGGGAAGAGGCTCATCCCATTCCAGCTTTCTTTTTACGAAACTCGGTAACTGTGGTGTTGCCGGAAGTAGCACGGGAGCAATGAAACCGAGAAGATCGTAAACGGGAGCTGCAAACTGGAGGATGGCTCTTCGGGTCAAAGTTTTCTTAAAACCTTCCAGCATAAAAGTTAGATGGTCCTGGGTGACGTTCCAGTTTAAACCAAGCGCAGTTGTAACACAATCGTCCGCAGTCGAATATCTTATTCCGTGAACCTTCAGTTCGTTGTCAGGTAGAAGCGCAATAACCTTTCGATTGCTGACCCATTTCGTCAAATGAAGTCCTCCGTCGGATGGAATAAGAGTAAGGTGTATAACGAGTTCAGTTGCTTCGCGAACAGAAACAACACTAAATAAACAATCGCCGACATAAAAACCGTTCTCTGCTACTTGTTCAGCCTTTGTTTGAGATTCACAATAACTGTCAACGATACCTTGTCGTAATGTAAAGTTAGCGCAGCTTGGTGACGAAGTAGCGCCAAACGGATGTACAGTCATGTGGTATTCAATAGTGGGTGAACAAAGATTGCCATTCTTCCACCACAGGAACCTCAAACAATTCCGATCCTTAATAGAAACTTTAACCTGGTGAAACATTGCTTCAATGTCGGACGCGACGGCGATCGGGTGAAACCAGAACCGTAAACGCATCCCTACTAGACTGTTTGATATATCTGGACCAGGTAGAAGTTGTTGATCGAGAGAAGTTCCATGGTATGAAGCTTGACAATCGAAGACCACTCGCACTTTACCGGGCTTACGGTGATGCGATACCGTGTGATGGGGTATGTACCAGGTTACCCCTTTTTTCTGCTGTTCCTGTACTGGAGCGAGTTCAGCATATCCTCTACATATATTTTCTTTCACTACCTTGGTGTGTACTTGGCGCAGTGCGGCATTCTTCAACAAACGTTTCCTCAACATGGCAAGCCTCATCAGTGAGAATTGCCGGTTATCTGGTAACCGAGGTCTCCCAGCTTGCCATGGTAGCGCAATTTCGTAGTGGGTACCAACTTTTCTTTTAGAAGCTTCCATTGGTTTTAACGCGCGTCCGTAGTTCACAGACATGGTTAGTCGTGGACTATCTAATCCCTCAAATTCCTTTACATTTATTTGCTCTAGTGGTTGATGAAGGTCAGTGGTATCGCAGCGAAGTGAGTTGATCCTCCGTGTTCGATCAACTATCAGTGAGGTGGATTGATCCTTCATAATCTCGTGCTCTTTGTTCGGTCCCAGTACGATCCAGCCCAATGGAGTTTTAACAGCATACGGATCATCAGGATCCCCGCGTCTCTGATCTAATGCCCAGTGTAGGTATGGGTTATCGCAACCAATCAAAAGTTCGATCCTTCCTTTCAGCTCCGGTAACCGTAGATCGGAGAGGTGGGACCATCTGGCGAAATCGTTGTTCCTGTTTCTCGTTCCAAGTTTTTCAGGGAGATGACTGACTGACCTAATTGAATTTAATTGGACCGCCTCATCCCCATCTATAGATCTAACAGCTACACCAACCAACTGGGACTCCACTTGACATTGGCCAGCAACGGTGCTAATGTTAAGTGGAGTCACGGACCCTTGAACCCCGATAACTTGAAGTAATGTTGAATCAATAAGTGAAGTATCTGATCCATTATCTATTAAGGCTAATGTTCGAATGGTGCCAGCAGGCCCAGAAACGAGCACAGGTAACAAGCCAAGCGACACAACAGAGCGTTCGATGTGACTGAGAGCAAAACTGGATCCTTCAGTGGTTGGTGTTCCGAAGTTGCTTCGATCAACGTGGAGTAGCGGGTGGTGCAGCAGCTTACAATTGTTCGACCCACAACACCTTCGTGATCGACAATTTACTAGGTCATGATTCGGTTTGAGACAGAGCTGACACAGTCTATGAGCGTGACAGAATTCAAGACGTTTGTTGAGGCTGAGATTTCGGAAATCATCGCACTGATCTAAGTAGTGGCGTTGTTTACAGGAAAGACATTTAGGGAAATTTCGTTCTGATGAAGCGGCAACGTTTAGGCAAGCGGCATATCCCCGAGAGTTTAAGCTTCTGCATCTATCGGTGATGGCCGGTATTCCGCGGGGACGTGCGGCAAAGGACAAATAAGTATCGACGACGTCTGCGGTTTCATCCACAAAATCCGTCAAATCAATGAAGTTCGGTTCTCTTTCGGTGCGGATAACTCTGGCGGCATGCTCGGCCCACTTGTATTGCAGGTGATTAGGCAGTCTCCTGGCTATAGAGCTGATGGTTCTGGACGCGTTCAAATCAGATTCATATCTCAATTGTTTCAACGTCAAGTAGCATGAACGCAGTTCAACAGCTAAACGAGACAGAGCCGTGAAATCATTGGGCCTGATGTTAGGGCCATCAGTTAGAGCATTAATGTGAGTCCTAGCAATCATGTGGGGCCGTCCGAAGCGTCTGCGCAAAATGTTCATTGCTTCTTCAAAACCTTCACCAGGGTCGAGTACTAAGCAACTTACGATAGCTTCTTTGGCTTCGCCACAACAGTATTGTATCAGATATGAAAGCCTGATAGTTGGATCGGAAGTAGTTCTGGTAACATTGGCTTCGAAGCATCGCATAAACAACCAATAGCGGGCAGGATCCCTATCGAATGTTATCAGTTCACGTTTTGGAAGACAGGATGACGTGCTGGGTCCAAAATCGCTGGATTTGCGTTCCGGACACAGGTTACCGTCAGATTGAAGGCCGGAGCAAAACGCCCCCAGCCGGGATCGAACGCCGGTACTGTCGGATGCCAACGGACCAACCAACTGAGCTACGGATGTGACGTGCGGACCCCTGTAAACAGGCTTCACAAACGACGAGCAGATGGCAACTTCGGGAGCAAGCACAAAATCGTCAGCCGGAATAAATCGGGAACGTTCATTAATAAGAGCATCCGACTCAAATTCAGGTTCGCAGTAGTCCTTAGCATCAACGGTATTCGCCTGCAACATGCGCATGCTCGTTAAAGCCGACTCCAACAGGCGAATACGGGATTCAGCTTTTCGAAGTTTCTCAGCATCAGTAACGTTAACATCATCAAAAGAATCACCAGAAACGGACATGATTGCACTATTCAACTTATGTACCAACGATACTAAGCCTAAACTAAGTACGTCGTACGAAACTAAACTAGACACTACGAACAGATAAACCTAGACTTAACGCACGGTCTGGGCAGAAGAATAAAACGAATTATCCTGTAACCGTGGTTCTATAAGGCATAATAAATACAGTACATGACTTACGAATAGGTTTCGCAATCGTAATGCAAGTGGGCAGAAACTGTCCAGCGTGGGGCGGATCGAGTATTTGGGCAGTGTCACAGTAACATAATAATAAGAATGACCTTGAAACCTCAAGGATGTGTCAGTGATGGAGTGTAAGAAATAAATATGCGATATGTTAACCGCTTGTAAAACACAGAAAAGCAGTGTAAATGTGCAAGATAATCAGGGAAAAGAGATACCGTGTCCTCATGTAAGCAATCCAGTTTGGGGATACATCAAAGTTCCTTTTGGACTTTACACTCCCCCGGCGGTTTCCTATCCCGGACGATGGCTTCCACGGCATCATTCTCTTCTTCCTGGTACGCTTCTAGTAGGCACAGCTGTCTGACGTCTCTTCGCAATATGCCTTTGCTAGTCCTCACCAGTGCTTGTCGAACCAGTTGGTCTTTGCTCTTGATAACTTGCTCCACAACACCCTTAGGCCACAGACCTCTTGATGTGCGTATATCACAAACTAAAACTAACTCGCCCTGCCTAAGATCGCTGATTTCAGTTAACCACTTCTGTCTATTCTGCAGTGTCTGTGGATATACTCTAATGCACCTACGGCAAAACATATCAAACACATGTCTTACCTGTCTCCTTCTTCTGCTCCAAACTTGCTGATCCTCTGCGGGAAGAGGCTCATCCCATTCCAGCTTTCTTTTTACGAAACTCTGTAACTGTGGCTTTGCCGGAAGTAGCACGGGAGCAATGAAGCCGAGAAGATCGTAAACGGGAGCTGCAAACGGGAGGATGGCTCTTCGGGTCAAAGTTTTCTTAAAATCTTCCAGCATAAAAGTTAGATGGTCCTGGGTGACGTTCCAGTTTAAACCAGGCGCAGTTGTAACACAATCGTCCGCAGTCGAATATCTTATTCCGTGAACCTTCAGTTCGTTGTCAGGTAGAAGCGCGATAACTTTCTTTCGATTGCTGACCCATTTCGTCAAATGAAGTCCTCCGTCGGATGGAATACGAGTAAGGTGTATAACGAGTTCAGTTGCTTCGGGAACAGAAACAACACTAAATAAACAATCGTCGACATAAAAACAGTTCTCTGCTACTTGTTTAGCCTTTGTTTGAGATTCACAATAACTGTCAACGATAGCTTGTCGTAATGTAAAGTTAGCGCAGCTTGGTGACGAAGTAGCGCCAAACGGATGTACAGTCATGTGGTATTCAATAGGGGGTGAACAAAGATTGCCATTCTTCCACCACAGGAACCTCAAACAATTCCGATCCTTAATAGAAATCTTAACCTGGTGAAACATTGCTTCAATGTCGGACGCCACGGCGATCGGGTGAAACCAGAACCGTAAATGCATCCCCACTAGACTGTTTGATATATCGGGACCAGGTAGAAGTTGTTGATTGAGAGAAGTTCCATGGTATGAAGCTTGACAATCGAAGACCACTCGCACTTTACCGGGCTTACGGGGATGCGATACCGAGTGATGGGGTAGGTACCAGGTTTCCCCTTTTTTCTGCTGTTCCTGTACTGGAGCGAGTTCAGCATATCCTCTAAATATATTTTCTTTCACTACCTTGGTGTGTACTTGGCGCAGTGCGGCATTCTTCAACAAACGTTTCCTCAACATGGCAAGCCTCATCAGTGCGAATTGCCGGTTATCTGGTAACCGAGGTCTCCCAGCTTGCCATGGTAGCGCAATTTCGTAGTGGGTACCAACTTTTCTTTTAGAAGCTTCCATTGGTTTTAACGCGCGTCCGTAGTTCACAGACATGGTTAGTCGTGGACTATCTAATCCCTCAAATTCCCTTTCATATATTTGCTCTAGTGGTTGATGAAGGTCAGTGGTATCGCAGCGAAGTGAGTTGATCCTCCGTGTTCGATCAACAATCAGTGTTGTGGATTGATCCTTCATAATCTCGTGATGTTTGTTCGGTCCCAGTACGATCCAGCCCAATGGAGTTTTAACAGCATACGGATCATCAGGATCCCCGCGTCTCTGATCTAATGCCCAGTGTAGGTATGGGTTATCGCAACCAATCAAAAGTTCAATCCTTCCTTCCAGCTCCGGTAACCGTAGATCGGAGAGGTGGGACCATCTGGCGAAATCGTTGTTCCTGTTTCTCGTTCCAAGTTTTTCAGGGAGATGACTGACTGACCTAATTGAATTTAATTGGACCGCCTCATCCCCATCTATAGATCGAACAGTTACACTAACCAACTGGGACTCCACTTGACATTGGCCAGCAACGGTGCTAATGTTAAGTGGAGTCACGGACCCTTGAACCCCGATAACTTGAAGTAATGTTGAATCAATCAGTGAAGTATCTGATCCATTATCTATTAAGGCTAATGTTCGAATGGTGCCAGCAGGCCCAGAAACAAGCACAGGTAACAAGCCAAGCGACACAACAGAGCGTTCGATGTGACTGAGAGCAAAACTGGATCCTTCAGTGGTTGGTGTTCCGAAGTTGCTTCGATCAACGTGGAGTAGCGGGTGGTGCAGCAGCTTACAATTGTTCGACCCACAACACCTTCGTGATCGACAATTTACTAGGTCATGATTCGGTTTGAGACAGAGCTGACACAGTCTATGAGCGTGACAGAATTCAAGACGTTTGTTGAGGCTGAGATTTCGGAAATCATCGCACTGATCTAAGTAGTGGCGTTGTTCACAGGAAAGACATTTAGGGAAATTTCGTTCTGATGAAGCGGCAACGTTTAGGCAAGCGGCATATCCCCGAGAGTTTAAGCTTCTGCCTCTATCGGTGATGGCCGGTAGTCCGCAGGGACGTGCGGCAAAGGACAAATAAGTATCGACGACGTCTGCGGTTTCATCCACGAAATCCGTCAAATCAATGAAGTTCGGTTCTCTTTCGGTGCGGATAACTCTGGCGGCATGCTCGGCCCACTTGAATTGCAGATGGTTAGGCAGCCTCCTGACTATAGAGCTGATTGTTCTGGACGCGTTCAAATCAGATTCATACCTCAATTGTTTCAACGTCAAGTAGCATGAACGCAGTTCAACAGCTAAACGAGACAGAGCCGTGAAATCATTGGGCCTGATGTTAGGGCCATCAGTTAGAGCATTAATGTGAGTCCTAGCAATCATGTGGGGCCGTCCGAAGCGTCTGCGCAAAATGTTCATTGCTTCTTCAAAACCTTCACCAGGGTCGAGTATTAAGCAACTTTCGATAGCTTCTTTGGCTTCGCCACAACAGTATTGTATCAGATATGAAAGCCTGATAGTTGGATCGGAAGTAGTTCTGGAAACATTGGCTTCGAAGCATCGCATAAACATCCAATAGCGGGCAGGATCCCCATCGAATGTTATCAGTTCACGTTTTGGAAGACAGGATGACGTGCTGGGTCCAAAATCGCTGGATTTGCGTTCCGGACACAGGTTACCGTCAGATTGAAGGCCGGAGCAAAACGCCCCCGACTGGGATCGAACGCCGGTACTGTCGGATGCCAACGGACCAACCAACTGAGCTACGGATGCGACGTGCGGACCCCTATAAACAGGCTTCACAAACGACGAGCAGATGGCAACTTCGGGAGCAAGCACACAATCGTCGGCCGGAATAAATCGCGAACGTTCATTAATAAGAGCATCCGACTCAAATTCAGGTTCGACGTAGTCCTTAGCATCAACAGTATTCGCCTGCAACATGCGCATGCTCGTTAAAGCCGACTCCAACAGGCGAATACGGGATTCAGCTTTTCGAAGTTTCTCAGCATCAGTAACGTTAACAACATCAAAAGAATCATCAGAAACGGACATGGTTGCACTATTCAACTTATGTACCAACGATACTAAGCCTAAACTAAGTACGTCGTACGAAACTAAACTAGACACTACGAACAGATAAACCTAGACTTAACGCACGGTCTGGGCAGAAGAATAAAACGAATAATCCTGTAACCGTGGTTCTATAAGGCATAATAAATACGGTACATGACTTACGAATAGGTTTCGCAATCGTAATGCAAGTGGGCAGAAACTGTCCAGCGTGGGGCGGATTGAGTATTCGGGCAGTGTCACAGTAACATAATAATAAGAATGACCTTGAAACCTCAAGGAGGTGTCAGTGATGGAGTGTAAGAAATAAATATGCGATATGTTAACCGCTTGTAAAACACAGAAAAGCAGTGTAAATGTGCAAGATAATCAGGGAAAAGAGATACCGTGTCCTCAGGTAAGCAATCCAGTTTGGGGATACATCAAAGTTCCTTTTGGACTTTACACTCCCCCGGCGGTTTCCTATCCCGGACGATGGCCTCCACGGCATCATTCTCTTCTTCCTGGTACGCTTCTAGTAGGCACAGCTGTCTGACGTCTCTTCGCAATATGCCTTTGCTAGTCCTCACCAGTGCTTGTCGAACCAGTTGGTCTTTGCTCTTGATAACTTGCTCCACAACACCCTTAGGCCACAGACCTCTTGATGTGCGTATATCACAAACTAAAACTAACTCGCCCTGCCTAAGATCGCTGATTTCAGTTAACCGCTTCTGTCTATTCTGCAGTCGCTGTGGATATACACGAATGCACCTACGGCAAAACATATCAAACACATGTCTTACCTGTCTCCTTCTTCTGCTCCAAACTTGCTGATCCTCTGCGGGAAGAGGCTCATCCCATTCCAGCTTTCTTTTTACGAAACTCCGTAACTGTGGCTTTGCCGGAAGTAGCACGGGAGCAATGAAGCCGAGAAGATCGTAAACGGGAGCTGCAAATGGGAGGATGGCTCTTCGGGTCAAAGTTTTCTTAAAATCTTCCAGCATAAAAGTTTGATGGTCCTGGGTGATGTTCCAGTTTAAACCAGGCGCAGTTGTAACACAATCGTCCGCAGTCGAATATCTTATTCTGTGAACCTTCAGTTCGTTGTCAGGTAGAAGCGCGATAACTTTCTTTCGATTGCTGACCCATTTCGTCAAATGAAGTCCTCCGTCGGATGGAATACGAGTAAGGTGTATAACGAGTTCAGTTGCTTCGGGAACAGAAACAACACTAAATAAACAATCGTCGACATAAAAACAGTTCTCTGCTACTTGTTTAGCCTTTGTTTGAGATTCACAATAACTGTCAACGATAGCTTGTCGTAATGTAAAGTTAGCGCAGCTTGGTGACGAAGTAGCGCCAAACGGATGTACAGTCATGTGGTATTCAATAGTGGGTGAACAAAGATTGCCATTCTTCCACCACAGGAACCTCAAACAATTCCGATCCTTAATAGAAACTTTAACCTGGTGAAACATTGCTTCAATGTCGGACGCGACGGCGATCGGGTGAAACCAGAACCGTAAACGCATCCCTACTAGACTGTTTGATATATCTGGACCAGGTAGAAGTTGTTGATCGAGAGAAGTTCCATGGTATGAAGCTTGACAATCGAAGACCACTCGCACTTTACCGGGCTTACGGTGATGCGATACCGAGTGATGGGGTATGTACCAGGTTACCCCTTTTTTCTGCTGTTCCTGTACTGGAGCGAGTTCAGCATATCCTCTACATATATTTTCTTTCACTACCTTGGTGTGTACTTGGCGCAGTGCGGCATTCTTCAACAAACGTTTCCTCAACATGGCAAGCCTCATCAGTGAGAATTGCCGGTTATCTGGTAACCGAGGTCTCCCAGCTTGCCATGGTAGCGCAATTTCGTAGTGGGTACCAACTTTTCTTTTAGAAGCTTCCATTGGTTTTAACGCGCGTCCGTAGTTCACAGACATGGTTAGTCGTGGACTATCTAATCCCTCAAATTCCTTTTCATATATTTGCTCTAGTGGTTGATGAAGGTCAGTGGTATCGCAGCGAAGTGAGTTGATCCTCCGTGTTCGATCAACTATCAGTGAGGTGGATTGATCCTTCATAATCTCGTGCTGTTTGTTCGGTCCCAGTACGATCCAGCCCAATGGAGTTTTAACAGCATACGGATCATCAGGATCCCCGCGTCTCTGATCTAATGCCCAGTGTAGGTATGGGTTATCGCAACCAATCAAAAGTTCGATCCTTCCTTTCAGCTCCGGTAACCGTAGATCGGAGAGGTGGGACCATCTGGCGAAATCGTTGTTCCTGTTTCTCGTTCCAAGTTTTTCAGGGAGATGACTGACTGACCTAATTGAATTTAATTGGACCGCCTCATCCCCATCTATAGATCTAACAGCTACACTAACCAACTGGGACTCCACTTGACATTGGCCAGCAACGGTGCTAATGTTAAGTGGAGTCACGGACCCTTGAACCCCGATAACTTGAAGTAATGTTGAATCAATAAGTGAAGTATCTGATCCATTATCTATTAAGGCTAATGTTCGAATGGTGCCAGCAGGCCCAGAAACGAGCACAGGTAACAAGCCAAGCGACACAACAGAGCGTTCGATGTGACTGAGAGCAAAACTGGATCCTTCAGTGGTTGGTGTTCCGAAGTTGCTTCGATCAACGTGGAGTAGCGGGTGGTGCAGCAGCTTACAATTGTTCGACCCACAACACCTTCTTGATCGACAATTTACTAGGTCATGATTCGGTTTGAGACAGAGCTGACACAGTCTATGAGCGTGACAGAATTCAAGACGTTTGTTGAGGCTGAGATTTCGGAAATCATCGCACTGATCTAAGTAGTGGCGTTGTTTACAGGAAAGACATTTAGGGAAATTTCGTTCTGATGAAGCGGCAACGTTTAGGCAGGCGGCATATCCCCGAGAGTTTAAGCTTCTGCCTCTATCGGTGATGGCCGGTAGTCCGCAGGGACGTGCGGCAAAGGACAAATAAGTATCGACGACGTCTGCGGTTTCATCCACGAAATCCGTCAAATCAATGAAGTTCGGTTCTCTTTCAGTGCGGATAACTCTGGCGGCATGCTCGGCCCACTTGAATTGCAGATGGTTAGGCAGCCTCCTGACTATAGAGCTGATTGTTCTGGACGCGTTCAAATCAGATTCATACCTCAATTGTTTCAACGTCAAGTAGCATGAACGCAGTTCAACAGCTAAACGAGACAGAGCCGTGAAATCATTGGGCCTGATGTTAGGGCCATCAGTTAGAGCATTAATGTGAGTCCTAGCAATCATATGGGGCCGTCCGAAGCGTCTGCGCAAAATGTTCATTGCTTCTTCAAAACCTTCACCAGGGTCGAGTATTAAGCAACTTTCGATAGCTTTTTTGGCTTCGCCACAACAGTATTGTATCAGATATGAAAGCCTGATAGTTGGATCGGAAGTAGTTCTGGAAACATTGGCTTCGAAGCATCGCATAAACATCCAATAGCGGGCAGGATCCCCATCGAATGTTATCAGTTCACGTTTTGGAAGACAGGATGACGTGCTGGGTCCAAATTCACTGGATTTGCGTTCCGGACACAAGTTACCGTCAGATTGAAGACCGGAGCAAAACGCTCCCGGCTGGGATCGAACGCCGGTACTGTCGGATGCCAACGGACCAACCAACTGAGCTACGGATGCGACGTGCGGACCCCTATAAACAGGCTTCACAAACGACGAGCAGATGGCAACTTCGGGAGAAAGCACACAATCGTCGGCCGGAATAAATCGCGAACGTTCATTAATAAGAGCATCCGACTCAAATTCAGGTTCGCAGTAGTCCTTAGCATCAACGGTATTCGCCTGCAACATGCGCATGCTCGTTAAAGCCGACTCCAACAGGCGAATACGGGATTCAGCTTTTCGCAGTTTCTCAGCATCAGTAACGTTAACATCACCAAAAGAATCACCAGAAACGGACATGATTGCTCTATTCAACTAATGTACCAACGATACTAAGCCTAAACTAAGTACGTCGTACGAGAACTAAACTAGCAACTACGAACAGATAAACCTAGACTTAACGCACGGTCTGGGCAGAAGAATAAAACGAATTATCCTGTAACCGTGGTTCTATAAGGCATAATAAATACAGTACATGACTTACGAATAGGTTTCGCAATCGTAATGCAAGTGGGCAGAAACAGTCCTGCGTGGGGCGGATCCAGTATTTGGGCAGTGTCACAGTAACATAATAATAAGAATGACCTTGAAACCTCAAGGATGTGTCAGTGATGGAGTGTAAGAAATAAATACACACACAGTAAAGCAGTGTAAATGTGGAAGATAATCAGGGAAAAGAGATACCGTGTCCTCACGTAAGCAATCCAGTTTGGGTGATACATCGAAGTTCCTTTTGGACTTTACACTCCCCCGGCGGTTTCCTATCCTGGACGGTGGCTTCCACGGTATCTTTTTCTTCTTCCTGGTATGCTTCTAGTAGGCACAGCTGTCTGACGTCTCTTCGCAATATGCCTTTGCGTGTCCTCACAAGTGCTCGTCGAACCAGTTGGTTTTTGCTCTTGATAACTTTCTCCACAACACCCTTAGGCCACAGACCTCTTGATGTGCGTATATCACAAACTAAAACTAACTCGCCCTGCCTAAGATCGCTGATTTCAGTGAACCACTGCTGTCTATTCTGCAGTATCTGTGGATGTACTCTAATCCGCCTACGGCAAAACATATCAAACACATGTCTTACCTGTCTCCTTCTTCTGCTCCAAACTTGCTGAGCTTCTGCGGGAAGAGGCTCATCCCATTCCAGCTTTCTTTTTACGAAACTCGGTAACTGTGGTGTTGCCGGAAGTAGCACGGGAGCAATGAAACCGAGAAGATCGTAAACGGGAGCTGCAAACTGGAGGATGGCTCTTCGGGTCAAAGTTTTCTTAAAACCTTCCAGCATAAAAGTTAGATGGTCCTGGGTGACGTTCCAGTTTAAACCAAGCGCAGTTGTAACACAATCGTCCGCAGTCGAATATCTTATTCCGTGAACCTTCAGTTCGTTGTCAGGTAGAAGCGCAATAACCTTTCGATTGCTGACCCATTTCGTCAAATGAAGTCCTCCGTCGGATGGAATAAGAGTAAGGTGTATAACGAGTTCAGTTGCTTCGCGAACAGAAACAACACTAAATAAACAATCGCCGACATAAAAACCGTTCTCTGCTACTTGTTCAGCCTTTGTTTGAGATTC